GTTACTGTGCTAATAAATAGTGTTTTCACTATATTTTGGATATTAATATCCATGCAGAGTTGATGTTGTACAGCCTGTTCAGTGAATTACAGGCAAATTCAGTTGATCAGCTGTAAAACAGTGATTCTGTCCAAATTCCCTATAAAATCATAAATGATTCCTTTCGAGCTAAATTGACCTGTTTCCCTTACAGTGGTGAATCTTGATGCACTGACTCCAGCTTCAGTCCACTACTTGTGAAGCTCTCCCAAGTGTTTGAATCGGCTTTGCTTGACAGTATTCTCAAGCTTGCGGTCATCCCTGTTGCTTGTGCACCTTTTCCTACCCAATTTCTTCCTTCCAGTCAACTTTGAATTTAATATGCTTTGATACAGCACTCTGTGAACAGCCACCCCTTTCAGTAATGACCTTCTGTGACTTACACTCTTTGTGGAGGGTGTCAATGATTGTCTTCTGGACCATTGCCAAGTCAGCAGTCTTCCCCATTATTGTGGTTTCAAAGAACAAGAGATACTCGGAATCTGAAATTTCAAGCGAGAGAGAGGTATATGCAAGAAAAGTTTATCAGAGGATCTGAGAGAGCGAGAGGATTCCTGATAGCTGAGAAGTTCGGACAAGTATGATGGGGCTAGATCATTTAATATGCTTTGATACAGCACTCTGTGAACAGCCACTCCTTTCAGTAATGACCTTCTGTGACTCTTTGTGTAGGGTGTCAATGATTGTCTTCTGGACCATTGTCAAGTCAGCAGTCTTCCACATTATTGTGGTTTCAAAGAACAAGAGATACCCAGAATGTATACTGTAGAGATGGTCATTTAATGAAACTCAAATATAAATATTCTAATATTTTGAGATACTGGATTTTTGACTTTCATGAGCTGTAAGCTCTAATCATCAAAATTAAAACAAAAAAACTTTACATGTAAACATTTTACTTTACATGTAATGAATCTAGAATATATGAAAGTTTCACTTTTTGAAATACGTTACAAAAAATTTTTAACTTTTTCACGAAACTCTTTTTTTTTTTTTTAGATGCATATATATATATAGGTTTATAAGTTTAAGTTTTCTTGGCTGTCACTTAGCAGCTCGAAGTTTCAGCTCCCTCCACATATTTTCTATATGATTAAGGTCTGGAGACTGGCTAGACTACTCCTTGACCTTAATGTGCTTCTTCTTGAGACACTCCTTTGCTGCCTTGGCAGTATGTTTTGGGTCATTGTCATGCTCACCCATCCATGACCCATCTCCAGTATTCTGACTGAGGGAAGGAGGTTCTCATCCAAGATTTTACAGTACATGGCTCCATCCATCGGCCCCTCAATGCGGTGAAGTCATCCTGAACCCTTAGCAGAGAAACAGCCCCAAAGCATAATGTTTCCACCTCTGTGCTTGACTATAGGGATGGTGTTCTTGAGATTATAGTCAGCATTTCTCTCCCTCCAAACACGGTGAGTTGAGTTGATGCCAAAGAGCTCAATTTTGGTCTCATCTGACCACAGCACTTTCTCCCAATCCTTCTCTGAATCATTTAGATGTTTCCTGGCAAACTTCAGATAGGCCTGTACATGTGCCTTCTTGGGTTTCTCCATATATTACATCCAGTGGGTCATACTACAAGATCAACAGTTCTTGCAAACTGTTAAAGGCATTCTCTGCTCTGCCATGTTATCTCCCTCAACTCTTCCAATATCTTCCACATCCTTTTTTAAAAACAAGATAACCATCAACAATTAATGCCCAAAACCACAAATTATCAATTGTTCTACTTTATAAAAGCTAAAAACTCTATTGACAAAGTTTAAACATTTGATTGAGAGCTCTTTTCATAACAGCAATATCAGAATATCAATATCTGCCATGAGTGCTAGCAAGAGCCACTCTGTTCCTAACACTCAAACAAAAAAATAAAACATATATATATATATATATATATATATATATATATTAAAGCTGACATTAAAAAGAAACATAATAAAAATACAGGTTTGTTAACTTCCTATACAGGCCCAGGTTACAAAAGCGTATTTAGTATAACCTGTATTTTGGCTGTTTAGAGTGTGGTCTTACCACTG